TGGGGGGGGGGGCCCGCGTCAAACCAGCGGCCGAGCCATTGGCCAGGGCGCGACGATTGGACGGGGCCGAGGGCGCGTCGCGCGCCTGTCAGGGAGGAAGCGGCCAGCTCACGTGATCTCGGTTCGTATCGGGCGGGAGATGCGGCCGCGAGGGCCCGAGCTGTTGACGGTGACGTCCGTTTAGTCACGTGCTTCGCGGGGGGCCTAGCGTGACGTGGCGCTCGCGCACTGGTGTGCGGCTGACAGGAGCCTCTTACGTCACGTGGTGATACTTTTAGGGTGACAAGTTTCGAGGTGGACCCCGTGGGGTGAGTTTTGGTTGACCTGGGGGTGGCCCTGGTGGGCTGAGTGGGGTGTTATGTAGAAAAAAAAAGAGGTGGACAACGGGTTGGTTGACCAGTACAGAAGGAACGGCCAGCAGAACCTGGACGGCAAGGCTCTGGAGGAGCCGGCCGTGCTGTCGCCGCTGTCCTCCGACTCGGAGGCCGGGGAGCGAAACTCCTGCAGCGAAGGCGACGAGTGCTGCATCGTCAGCGTGGGGACTCAGCCTTCCCGCACGGACCGCTCCCTGCAGACGCTGGAGTCGGTGCAGCAGGAACTGAGGGTGGTGAACGAGCGGGCCGACCGGGCCCTGCTCCAGCTCAAGAGACGCTACGGGCAGCTGCGGAAGCCGCACATCCAGAAACGCAACGCCATCATACGCACCATCCCCGGATTTTGGGTCACTGCTGTATCCTACAATATCTTTGAACGCCGTGTATGTGTCTCAGGCCCAAATTGCCCGAGTCCTGCAGCTCTGCGTGACGTGGGGGGTGGGCCGGCAGGGTCACCCAGTGTAAGAGGGTCACCCAGATTGAGCCAAATCAGAAAAAGAGCACCAAACAAACTGTAATTTATTACTCCAAGTCCGAGATCCTTAAAGTGGAACTCCAGTCTTTCTAAAAAATTATCCCTGCAAACTCTGCACTGCGAGGGGTAACTGCTCATTTTGTCTAGGGGGGTGAAAATAAAGAAGAAATACTTACAAGTTCCTGTCGGGCTGCTAGACCGGTCCCCGCAGCCTCTTTCCCCTGGGCCCTGGCGGTCCAAGGACCCGTGTTGTCGCCATATCTAATGCAGTCACCAGACGTGAGGATGCTGAGGGACGTACCACAGCTAGAGATGGAGGGGGGTGGTTAGTGCGACAGGACAGCCCTTGCAAGGTTGAGCTATCCCCACTGGGGTAACCGTTGCAATGCTGGGTGGTAGCCCTTGCAATGCTGGGTGGTAGCCCTTGCAATGCTGGGTGGTAGCCCTTGCAAGGTTGAGGTAGCCCCACTGGGGTAACCGTTGCAATGCTGGGTGGTAGCCCTTGCAAGGTTGAGGTAGCCCCACTGGGGTAACCCTTGCAATGCTGGGTGGTATCCCTTGCAAGGTTGAGGTAGCCCCACTGGGGTAACCATTGCAATGCTGGGTGGTAGCCCCACTGAGGTAACCGTTGCAATGCTAGGTGGTAGCCCTTACAAGGTTGAGGTGCCCCACTGGGGTAACCGTTGCAATGCTGGGTGGTAGCCCTTACAAGGTTAAGGTAGCCCCACTGGGGTAACCGTTGCAATGCTGGGTGGTAGCCCTTACAAGGTTGAGGTAGCCCCACTGGGGTAACCGTTGCAATGCTGGGTGGTAGCCCTTGCAAGGTTGAGGTAGCCCCACTGGGGTAGCCCTTGCAAGGTTGAGGTAGCCCCACTGCAAGGGTTAGTATTTAAAAATCCTGGTGTCTAAGCCCTGATGAAGGGAGATCGCTTGGCCCCTGAAACGCGTTGGAGGCTTTCCTTTGCGATATTCACGTAATAATAGAATACAGTTTCGGGCTCTTGAGACATTTGTTTGGCTCTCTCCTCTGATTGACAACATGATTCAGTTGCGTAATCGTTTTAATTTTTTTACCATGAGAGTAAGATGTTGGCTGCAGTATCTCGGCCTCTCTCTGGGGCCCGGGGCTCCACCAGCCTGCAACCTTTTTTCCTCTTCTGCCGGCTAGAAGTGGTGCTGCCAAGTCAACCCATAACCTTCACGTTTAAAGATTTTAATCCCCCCCCCCGCACTGCTAAACACATGACACTCGCCTGAATCGAGATCCCAGCTAGACCGGTCCCTTCAGCCTTGCTCTCCCTTCTCTCCAGCCATGGAATGTCCCTCAAGTCCTATACACTGTATGGAACGCGATGACTCGCTGGACCGCGGGAGTGGAAGGTGGATGAGGCTTAAAGGGCCGGCGATTGCAGGCAACGTATTTCTCTCGTGACAGGTTTTCTTTAAAGGTCACCTCCAGGCACCGGGGGGAACCACAACCTTGCAGTGGGGCCCCCCGGGGGAGTTAAATTCTGATTTAAAGGGACACTAAACTAAGGAGTTAAATCTTCAAAAATGCATTTAAGTACACGAGGGCGCCATATCTGTCACATGATGCAAGTGATCTGTTGCTGTATGGGGGGTGTGCTGGAGTCGCTTGCAGAGAAGGGGGGCCAGGGGCCCGAGGGATGCGTATTACAGCGTTTAATTCCGCCCCCTAGACTTAAAGTGACAGTAACCTCAGGAGTTAAATCTTAAAAAGACATCCATGTACCCCAACTACGAGCAACAATGTATCTGATTTGTGTGTCACTCGGCTGTAGATCCTCCAATCATCTCTGACACTGTCCTTCCTTCTGTGGGGCGGGGCTACGTCTGTTGCCCATGGTCCCTGTGTGTGTTGTAAAGTAGTCACCTCTCCAAGCTCCGCCCCCGGGATGGACTACAGCCGAGTGATACACAAATAAGATACATTGAGGGGAATTTATCAAAACAGGAGCAGCTTTGCACGGCAACCAATCAGCTTCTCCCTTTCATTTTCGAATCTTAACTGAACAAACTGAAGAGAGAAGCTTATTGGTTGCCATGCACACCTGCTCCAGATTTTGTCTGCTCCAGTTTTGATAAATTCCCCCCATTGGTGTTAATTTAAGGTTCTTGAATGTATTTTTAAGACAAATAAATGTGTTACTTTCACCTTCCGGTACGGTGTGCTGAAGGGGATTGTGGGCGACGCTCCGGATTGTGGGCGTGCCCTCCCTGTCCTCGCATACAGTGCAGAGCTATGTGTCATGTACTGTGATGACGTCGGGCAGAGGGTCTTTGGGAGATCGGTCACATAGCGAATAATAAGGTATTATACCGCATTCTTCCACGCCGAGACACATTGAAGGGGATTTATCAAAACTGGAGCAGCTGACCCCAAGGGTCTTTTTTTTTTCCCCTGGTTCCTGGAGTTGGGCTTTAAAGGAAACCTGTCATAAGAGAAACGCATGGGGTGCATTCAATTACCTCTGAAAATGGGAAGCACCGGTATCGGTACTCTGTATAGGCCAGTGCCGAAAGTAAATCTGTACTCGATATCGAAAAACTGATATCGATGCATCCCTAATTAGAACCTCTGCCAGGTTTTATTTGCCATTTGTCCCTCCCCCTCCCCCCACACTGGGGATATTCACCTTCCCTTTGTCTTGGCGGCCATTGTCACCGGGACTGAAAGTGATGTGAAAATCCAAAACCAAAAATCCACTGGGGCGGGGCACATTTTCCAGTGGGGACTCTTCCGATGACGGCTGTCTGAGGCAGGATTTCCCTCTTTGTAGAGATTTGTTCCAACTTCCTGTTGTATCTACAGTACAGGAAGTGAAAGGGAATCTAGTTTCACCCACAGCTGGAGGGCCGGAGTTTGGCTACCCCTGATTTAGACAATGTCAAGCAACCTTTGCTAAAAGCCCCGTCTAACCCTCCTGAACTACACTAACCACCCCCCACCTTCTGCTTGTTTCCCTCAGTAGGACTGCTCCTTCTTTTCATCTTCTTGGCTGAAATCCTCTTCTCTGCTGGTCACACCTGCACCGTGAAACCCTCATATAGGTTTGTACAGGGATGTCTTACGAGCGTCTCCAGTTTTTTGGAACGCAGCCCTGTGCAAGTCTAAGAGGATTCCCTACAAAGGCG